GCGCGCGTAAATGAAAAAAAAAAAAAAAAATTGGCAAACGCGTATCCGGTGAAAAGCTGTGATTCGTCGATAACCGACGCTGTGCAGGGGAAGAGACCGAGGGACAAATTCAATCCATCGGCGATATCTCTCTCTCTCTTTTTTTTTTTCGTCCTTCCTCCGTTTTATCCGAGATCGGTTTTCGCCTGGGAGAACGAATTCCGGGGCACGAACTCCGCGCCGAATTTCCCCGATTCTTTCGATTTCAGCCGGCAGGTTTCGCGGAATATTTTATTCCCCCTTGGTGTCGGTTTTAATCGCGCGTCGCTGGGAAAACGAACGAGGGTAATCGCGAACCTATCGCTATCGGGATCGAAGCTATATCTCAACGCGAGTTTTATATCGGCCGCTTTTAATTAAAAAGTTGCCCGGCAAAATTCGAAACAATCGGGCAAATCGTCGGCTTCGTTTCCCGTTACCCGCGCCCCGAATTACAAAAGCAAATTTTCGACTCGACCATCGCACGATTTCGAGAATCGATTCTGGGGGCTCGTTCATCAATTCACGCGTCGCTCTACAGTAAACGTCCGGTCGATCTCGTTATACAGGTTATCAAATTTTATATAAATCAAATGTTACATGGATTATCAATTTTGAAACTGAGTTCAAAGAACGTATTCTTCTGGCATCTGAAAGAAATGGCCTCTTCCAAAAAGGTGTCATTTCTTTCGTTTTAAATAATCTGTTTATTTTTCAAACTTTCCAAACGTTATAAATTTATATGTACGTGTAATATATGTGTATAAATATTATACAATATTATATGTATAAACATTATGTGTATGTTTCTTCAGATATATATTCCATGTTATTTCAAATGCATGTGCATGCTTTTTTTTAAAATGTAAATTTGTAACAATTCTTTAGAAAAAAAGCGAGTTCATCATTTTCCGATCAATTTTCTCACCCGGTATATAACAGTCACCGGCCGCTCGTGCGTGCAGTCGGCGAGACCGACGCGTCGTTTAATAAATTTTCGCTGCATCGGCAAATATTGTTGTTTGGCAAATATGCAGCAGTGGGAAGGCTCGTTGCGAGCAACGAGAGGTGGGGTTCACCCTTCGGAGAAGCAACGTTCGCTCGGTGGACGACCGATGCGAAACGATGACGCGCGTGGAACCCTCGAACCGAGCGAATTACGCGCTCGGAATTAATCGCGGCGGAGTGGCGTTTGCGGTGTGCGCGTAGACCGCCTCTCTCCCGTAATTAAATTAGTACGCCGAAAGGCAACGAGCGCGTGCACACGTACCGCCGTATATAACACTCTGCCGATTAGGTCCACGCCGATTTTTTATCACCTTTCGCCCAGGGCTCTTTGCTCGAATCGCGAGCAACCAGTCGATCGTTTCTATAGCGGGATATTAAATTCCATAGTGATGATCGTGATTATGACAATGGTGGGGCAAGATCCTCGAGATCGATAGATCGATAGATCGACAGGCGGCGAAGGTTCCAAGTATCTCGTCGATTGAAACAGTTTAACCTCTTCATTAGAGTAATCAAATATTAAAAACAGACAATACACTTTAGCCACCGAGACGAGATTTTTCTGTTTTCTCTACTCGAAAATAATATATAATTATTAAATGTTACAATATTTATAGGATTAGAAACTACTGTAATAAAAGATCGTTCTTAATCGATTGTAATTCGGAAGAAGCTAGGTGCTAATAACTTAATCTCTTAACCTCTTGCGCTGGCAACTGATTTGCGGACCATAACGAGTGACCA